AGAGAGAGAGAGAGATGAATCAAAAAGAAATAACAATAAAAATTGAGAATGATAATTCTCATGGTAAACGTATAATAGCAGAATCAAACCAAACCCGATGTTTCCAATAGTTGATTGCTTGTTTACCTAGAAGACTCGAAAAAAGAAATGTAAACTATCATTTTGGTAGCAGCCAAAACAAAAGAACAGCCAAATTTCAGCCTGACAACCCATTACACAATATTGTAAAATTTTCTAAACCAACAAACAATGCAGTATCGATTTCATGTAAAAATCTATGCCATAAATCAATGACGAAGAAGCAAATAATTGCTACCATGTAATTCGTTTTTTTCAGATTGAAAGTGGAAAAAGAGAACATTCAGCCACAATTAATTACATCATGGGCATGAGCTGGTAGCTCAATTCGATGATGTTGGAGTCATAAATATCTGACTATAGCTGCAGCTTCAATACAACCCTGACAGGTTCTTGGATCACAAATTCATGAACTAAACAATTCAATAAATGACGTTGAATCAATACGACATTGCAAAAATTTCGGGCGTGAACTGCAATGGAATTACCCGAAAGTAGCGGGCTCCGGGGTCCTTCTCGACATAGTCGGCCTCGGGGTCAGGAGGCTCAGCACTACCAGCAAGCAAACCGTCTTTGATATTATTTACAGGAAACACAAAACCATTTCCATTACCAGAATGAGGCAATGCTAACCCAGCACCGTAATTCATTCTGGTGAATAAACGAACAGAAGAAGATACGAGGAGGAGGAAGAGGAGATATGGAAAGTAAAAAGAATCAGTCCAAAACTGGATCAAAGAAGTTTTCCGATTAAGGAATGTTCGGAAAAGGCCTCTGCAGCAATAGCATAGGAATCGAATGCCGATCGCGTATGGTATCGGGATCGACATCCGAAATTAACAACATCGAGATCCAATGAACTCGATGATATTGAGAATGAGGAATTGAAGGAAATCGAGAACTGTTTCATGACCATAACCCCACTTTCCATCTCCTTCTTTCAAACCAATCCCAACACCACCGCCCTAAAAACCATAATTCCTTTCTTTGTAATCTTTTTGGCCCTTTTTAAACAAACCCACCAAAAGAAAAATCAAAAAACAAAAAAAAAATGTCTGGGACTAAGGATTTGGGTTTGATTAGGAATGGAGGTTGTGGTGAATGGGTGATAAAAAAAAAAGGAAAGAAAGAAAAAGGAAATGGGGGCAGATTGAGGGATCAAAATGGGGGTTGAGCTAATAAGAAAAGGAGAGAGAAAAATTGAACATGGGATGGAGGAAAAGGGGAAGAAAAGGAATGAAGATAGCGATGAGGATTGATAGATGGGAGAGGGAAAAGTGCTGTGGAGGTGTGTGTGTGGGGGGGTTAATGCGGAAGAGAAGGTTTCAACAAACACTTGTTTGGTTGAATAAATTCAAAGTGTTTTACAACTATTAAAATCAATACTTCTGTGCTGTTATATTTATTTATAGCATTTAAGTTTACAAAATAATTAGTTTTTTAGCTAAAAGCATTTTCCGTTGCCGGGAATCGAACCCGGGTCCCCTGGGTGAAAGCCAGATATCCTAACCGCTGGACGACAACGGATTGTTGCTGAATGTTTATATAAAAAATAATATAATAATAAGACCATTTTTGTTGTTTGCTCCATCACTGTTCAACTTCAGAAACTATGTTGATCGAGAAACTTGGGTTTGTTTTTTTTTTTAATAAACTTTCATTAAAAAAACACAGAAAACCTGTCCTTTTATAGTACATATTCCTATCCTAACTTCTTTGAGAATGATTTACATCAGCTGTTTTAGAGGAGAGGTAAATCAGTAAGGAGGAAGAATGTCATGTTTGGATTGCATAGTCAATGTGTGTGCTGCTAAATTATAAGATCTCCTTGTGTATTTATATCTAACACTAGCTAATTGCTTTGTGTATTGCCATATGTCCTAAAGGAGGGCCTCAATGTCTCTTATAACTGTTTCTGGTCCTTTGATCGAGAGAGTTTATAAGGACCTTTAAGTTTGATTCCAATATCACCTCCCCATAGCCATTATCTAGCGTCAGTGTACGAGTTCTACGTGTTTGACCAAAATAATTTTTATGTGTAAAAATTAAATTTTTGATTGACTTTGAATTTAAATTAAAATGGGACTCTTTCATGGTTTCAAGTAAACTTTCGTGAGCTCGTATTATATTCCGTGAAGAGAATAATGTAATATATTCACTTGCGCAAATCAAGTAAAAAATGAATGAGAAAATAGGTTTCAAAGTAACCCTCGTGAAATGTAAAAATAAAGGTTGTGCCATGTGGGATTTGACATCAATCTCACATTAATTTAAGAAAAAATTTTACATGGACATATTTATGAGTGGAGCGAGCGCCTATATGTCTTTGGTTCAACCACACACGTTCAAGCCACCCGCCCTCCATGCCACGACTCGATTAGGCTTGGGTATGGGTGTGACCAAGCCCTATCATTTTGGAGAAAATTCGTTTAATAAATTGGACGTGAATTTCTTGATTCGAAATTTAATTTCAGTATCTGTTGGATTTAAAATTCACACTGGTTCGGATTAGTGTTCCCTTTAGTTCCAAATTTTAATTGCATCTATTCAAAATTGAACAGTTACATATTGGTGTCTTTTGGCAGCATGTGTGCCTTCTTCTGGGTTGTGTCTTTTCGCATGTTGATTGTCTAGAACAATCACCAGTTTGTCTATATAAACATAGACTCATTACCATTCTGCATCAATCATTTTCGAAGTTAAAACAAACATTAGTACATTATATTTTGGCAATAAGACAGTCTACATCTGGAGAGTACATAACATAATATCTGGTTCGATGGGCAAGTAGATTAGAGTGTTACATCTATTCGCGTGAAGATCATTATATCTTGGGAGGAAGACGTTTTGATTTTTATAAGCACCGTGTGTAGGGGTGAAATATGTCTTAAGGATATAGTGTCAAACACTAACTTTAATCTACTTAAAATTTAATAACAGTTCATGTTCTGCAAACGGGTCAGTTTTTATATTGTTTAAATACATATTTATTGTGCTACTCCTTTGTTTGTATCTGTTATTGTTTCATACATATTACTACAACTGTTTCGTTCATGACTGTTACTGTTTTGTTTTAAATTACGTGTTTCAAATCAAAAATTTTAATAAGTGATTTTTACAATATTTGAAATATCACAAAAAGCACTTCGCACTACAAAAACTTCAACAGCCAACAGAGAAGATACTGTTATCGTTGTTGAAGCTCCTCGTGGTTGTGTCATTGTTGCATATGATGCACTATTGCTCTCTTCACAGTAGGCTCCATCGCAATTAATTTTCCCTTAACCCTTGCATCTTTGCATTGGTTGCTATTGAGTTGTGATAATATGGGCTCCTTCTTCTTCCCTTAACCCTTGCATCTTTGCATTGGTTGTTATTGCTTAAGAGAGTACTCTATCACAATTTGGTTGGCCGCGTTGGTATATCCATTCATTGCGTGCTTTCTAGATGAACCAGCATATGAATGCTAGCAAGACTTATCCTAGTTGTTCCATATTGTTTATCCTTGCTAACTCCTCAAATTCTTGCAAAAACCATATCTCTATCCTTGTAATTCCACATCTATCAATGGTAAAGTCCAAAAGGAAACTTCTTCCAGATTGTAGTAGTCTAAGGGCATAACAATAAGAGATGTTCCACAGTTTCGTCTTCCTCTCCACAAATTGAACATGTAGGGTTTTGAGAGAGTTTACTTTCTCCATAGTGCCTATTTGGTTGTCAGTGCTCCATTTGTAACCTTCTATAGAAAATACTGAATATTTTGAGGTGCTTTTAAGCCCCAAATCATTTTCCATTGAAAGATGAGCTTGCAGTTGTGTTATGTTGAAGGGCACCTAAAGATTGTTTCAGCATGTGGTAGCCACTTCTCACTGTGTAGTAGCCTGAATTTGTATGGGACCATCTTAGAATATCCTGTTGCAGTGTTTTCTGCTAACAGAATTGCAAGGATTTTCCTGGCTATTTCTAGTGCAAAACTCCCAGTGGATAAGTTCTGAGTTTCATATTCTGTGAGGCTACGTAATTAGCTCTTATAATCTCAAAATACTACTCTGCCCCATATTCTAAAGCTAAAGATGTCCTAGAATCCAAGGGTCTTCCCAACGTCTAACATCACTTCCATCTCCTACCTTCGAGTACAGCAGTCCGCTTAAGCTTCCCTTGCCTTGAGGCATAGATGGTTATTATACTGGGGAAAAATCTCACTTGATATTGATGATATCATGGAAACTAAGTGTTTTGATTTTTCAGATATATTAATAAAATGTATTTTCTTCCTATAATAAAACGAACAAATTGTCAAGGATTTGGGGATGACCGATCAAAGACACTCTAATGCTTAGGTCAATAAAAGTCTAACCGAAGTCATACAACCAAATTGTTAAAAAAAAAAAAAGGTGTACCTTAAAATTTAAGCTTATTCGAAGCTTAGAATTCTGGTAACATTAAGGTGGCACACCTTGACCTATCTAAACTCTTTCAATCAACTTGTAAACAAATCTGACTTCCAATTTCACTAAGCAATTTTATAGATCACATGTTTACAATGTGTACCTTAGTCAATACTCATACCTTATCTCGTCAACTGCCTTGAGTTTTATGGGGATAGCCTAGCTATTTGTTCGGATAGGTATTCATATCTATTAGATAAAGTTGCTTTCTTATTCAAATTTTAGTCTCTTTCTGAGCATATTTCATCAGATTCTACTCGACACAAACCTTTTTGATCAAGAATGTTAATCCATCGAGCATATCACATTTAATTGATTTCTTTCTATTATGGTCCAGTTTTTTCAATTTGTTCGGCTAAGTTACAATTTATTCGATTTTAGACTTGGTTTGTTCAATTAAGGCGCTGCCACCTCAAATGACTCTTTTCTGCACGTGTTAATTGTCACGTGACTTTGTCCAATTGTCAAACCATGATCATAAATATTATGAATCCCTTAAGTTATACCACAAAACTAGTTCTCTAAACCAACTTGAGTTTGTGCAAGTAATTTCAATGGTGTAGTAAGATTCGATCACATAATTTATTTTATAAAGAGGAGCGTGTGCAATTGAACTAACCCGTTGGAGTTACTTTTGTATTTGTTAACATAATTTCAAAATCAAACTATAGATTCTAATATGCTAGTATTCCAAGTTACGCATATAGAGTAGTTTTTTGTCTCATTTTCTAATATCACACTATAATTTCTCTTCATTCACCTCAACTTCATTCAGCAACCACACGAGCAGCTATTCTTTGTAACATGGAAAAGAACTAAACTATTAATGTAAATTTGAAAATGAATCAAGTTAAAAATAGAAGTGTTATGCCCATTTACCAATGAGCTTCTTTGTTTTCTTAATGCACACAAAATTAAGTAGTCAATGTTTTTACATATCAGTACAACTCCCAAAGAAGGGATTGTAAGATAATAATCTTGACTTTTGACAAAGATTAATGAGTAATCCTAAATTGATCAAAATTTGAGACCAAATGTATGGCTCAAATGACATGACAGTTGATTATTTGAAATATTTATTGGGACCCAAATAACATGACATCAATCAAAGAAGTCCAAGTCAACTGCAATATCATTTGAACTCTAAATTTGGTCTCAAAATTTGATCAATCTAGCATTACTGAAGATTAATCACTTGACCTCATAGTTGAGAGGCCTTTAGAGAATCAAGTAAGGCCAACTAGGTTAGGCCTAGTTGCATTTAAGTGGTTATCGATTTATGAAAAATTTATATGTCAAAAATGAGATATTTCAAATTTTACATTTATTTCGCCTAAAATTTTATCGGTAAGTAATTGTGTTTGAAATAATATTTATCAAACATAATTTAGTGTAAGTAACACGTTACCCTTTGAAAATTCCTCGGTGCACCCTTAATGATACAGAAAGTAACAATGTAGTCTAAAATCAAACATTCTATGTTTTGTCCAAATAATTTTTTTATGAATAATTACATATGTTGTACTTATGTACACAACTATTCATATATTACTTAACGTTAAGTATTTTATATGAAATTTTTATATTGAATAACATATAACAGTCCCCTTATTTATGTTTTTATATAATTAAGGGTGTAATATAAGAATTTAATATTTTAAAATATAAATTAAAATTTTAAAAATCTTTCGGTATAGATATTGTCATTCTCTCCGTGACTCATTCTTAGAAAAAAAAATGAGGGTTTGAAGTTGTGTTTAACAAACACAATTTTTTTTAGCTTTTGCTATTAAGTTTGAAGTCGCTAGTTTAAAATTTTAATGTGTCTCGTGCTAATAAATAAACAATTGTTTCGCAATGTTCTTTTAAGTGAAAAAAAATATTTTTGTTAAAAAAATAAAGTTAAATACGATCACTATATAATAAAATTAATTCATATAAATATTAATACATAAGTAATACACTTCTTCGTGCATATGTCTATTGGAACACATAATTAAATCTTGAATAACGGAGTAAGCATGGATAAGAAAAAAATTTAAAAACAAATATATATACTAAACAACCACTAATTAAAAAATACCAGTTTAAAACAGGGGGAAAAAGTATTAATAAAATGTTACCACATCTGTAAACGACATCGTCTTGACTTCTCCCACGGTTTGACCAGTGACTCCACCTGATGATGCACAAAATTAATTTGCACTGACCTATGTCCATTTTGAATGACAAGGGTCGCCAATATTTTATTATGTCTAATTTGAAAGGAGAATAGAATGTTACAAGTTTTGAGAGAAGAAAAGATAATTATGCTCAAATGAGTAGAATGCNTAATTTGCACTGACCTATGTCCATTTTGAATGACAAGGGTCGCCAATATTTTATTATCTCTAATTTGAAAGGAGAATAGAATGTTACAAGTTTTGAGAGAAGAAAAGATAATTATGCTCAAATGAGTGGAATATCTCAAGTGTTGGTGGGGTTTACAATTTATAGTGGCTTAATGTAGTAATTGAATAACTAGTCTAGCGGTCATAACGGGTTAGAGTCGTTTAATAGTCATAACGGATTGAGGTAACCTTAATGTTGATTAAATAGTTTGACAACCTCTCCTCTCCTCAACGGGTATGGAAGTTATGATACTTTTCAAAAGACTTGATCAAATGATAATGGAAGGTTGACTCTCTCCAAGCGGCGAGATTGAGGCTCCTGCTGCTCCCTTACTCCAAGGTGGTAGAGGAGGTTCTTGGATGACCCTTGCATACTCCCTGTTGGTATTGCTCCTTGATTCTTGATGAACTTGTCCGGATTAACCGCATTGAGCTGGACTTGCTGGATCTCTTGGAGATGAGCTATAAATTTAGACTAGGCTTATAATTTGAGCTAGGCCTTTGGGCTTGGCCTATCATTTGCCCCCAATGTCATGCGTCTAACAGAACTTGGAAAAGAGGGTNTAACCGCATTGAGCTGGACTTGCTGGATCTCTTGGAGATGAGCTATAAATTTAGACTGGGCTTATAATTTGAGCTAGGCCTTTGGGCTTGGCCTATCATTTGCCCCCAATGCCATGCGTCTAACAGAACTTGGAAAGGAGGGCATTCAGTTTGAGTTTGAATTTTTAGCTAACTGGCACAATTGAAAAAATTTCAAGACCAAAACATCTATTTATAGAACTTTTTTGAACTTTTAACAGCATCAATCATAGATTAAAGTTGTGAGTCTTGTAGGGCTAGTCGAGAGTTTTAATTTGATATATTATAAGCCTCGTTTGGAGTAACAAAGCAAAAGTTATGGTCAAAACTTCGAGCAGAGAACTAGGCGAACAGGCAGTTTTCCGGGCGAATAAGGCACTGTTCTGAGCAAGCAGAATTTTTTATTTTTTTAAAAAAAAAAATTCGAGAGGCCAAAACACCTCTTTCTGAGCCTTTTTTGTACTTTTTTTGAAAAGTTGTAATGAGATTTGCTCAGCTCTTCGAGAGCTTCGATTTGGTATATAATAAGTCCTATTTTGACGTTCGAATCCAGAGTTACAGTCAAAATAGCATCGGGTGCATAGTTTTGGGCAAGCAGACAGCCTCCTGGGCGAGCAGACAGCTGTTTCTGAGCCATTTTTGGACTTTTTACAGCGTCTTTCATTGTCATAGGCAGTGAGTTTTGTAGGGATCGCGCGAGAGCTTTAATTTGATATATAATAAGCTCTGTTTGGAGTTTCGGATCAAAAAATTATGGTCAAAAGAGCGTGAAACCCTTTTTAAATCCGAATTTTTTGAAAACTCCTCTTGATCGGCGACCCCATCCCTTCCAGTAGACTCCTTCTACTTGTAGGACTCCATTGACAATACAAACTCCTTCTTTCACTTTTCTTTTTAGATTTTTGAAGAGATCGTTGTGGTCCCCGAAGAAGAAGAGCAGGTAGTTAAGAGGAGTGGTTTGGGGGAATAGCCTGCTATGCACGTGTCTGGAGTGCGTGAGGACAAGGCGTTGGGCGCCCAGACTATGGAGACCCCAATTTTGGCGAGCAAGTCAGGCAAGAAAGGGATTGGGCGCCCAGGCTGTGGTGACCCCAATTGGGCGAGCAAGCCAGGTACGCAAGTGTATGGGCTTGCCTCGGGGCGCCGCTAACGTGCAAGCTAGGCGCGTTGGAGCACACGCTGTGGAGAGGCTAGCAAGCCAGGTGAGCGAGGCTGCTGAGGCGATGATTCCTGTTAGGAGAGCAGGCTGTGCACCTTGGCAATCTTGTCAAATGGGAGTTCATGGAGAGCCCTCGCGCAAGAGCTGGGTACTAAGGATGTCGAGACTGAGATAGCGACCCATGCCACAAGGACTGAGATGAGGGGCACAAGAGTAGGGGCGTCATTGGCGTGGGGCGCTGACTATCTGGCGCTATGGTGCCAGGTGGGATGCCCCATGTGTTGGGTAGGGCTGTCAAAATTCGACACGACATAATTAATCGACATGAATTAAACGNTGCCAGGTGGGATGCCCCATGTGTTGGGTAGGGCTGTCAAAATTCGACACGACACAATTAATCGACATGAATTAAACGGTTTTGGGAGAGATCTTAACGGGTTTGAGTGATAAACGGGTTTACACGCCAAACACGTTTAATAAACGGGTCGTGTTTAGGTGAGACATGTCAAATTGTTCATCACACGTTTTACCCGTTTAAATAAAATTAATATAATAATAAATTAATAATTATTTTAAAACATTAGCAAGAAAAAAGAAGTAAAGAAATCAATAATAAAAAAAAAGTAAAGTAGTAATTCAAAGACAAAGGAGAAGAGTTGGAGAATACTTCAAAGGCAAAGGCAAACAAATGTCTTTTATTTTTGTCCCACAATGAAAAATGAGGGGAGATGGGGAGGGTTAAGTTGCTTATAAAAGACAATGACCTTTTGGTTTTATTTTTAAAGTCTTCAAATCTTATTTTTCAAAGACAAAGGAGAGGAGTTGTATGACACTTGAAAGACAAAGGTAAACTAATGTCTTTTGTTTTTGTCCCACATTGAAAAATTAGAGGAGATATGGAGGGTGAGTTACCTATAAAAAGCAATAGCCTCTTGCTTTTTTTTTTAAATTCTTCAAGTTTTATTTTTATGAGATTTGATTTAAAATTTTTCTTTTTTGAGGTAAGTGCAATTAGTAGTAAAAAAAATGGAGTATTAAAATTTGTTGATATAATTTGTTTAAAATTAAATGGGTTAAACGAGTCGTGTCGTGTTATCCATTTATTAAACGGGTCGTGTTCGTGTTGAGATTTTTTACCCGTTTATTAAACGTGTCGTGTATCGGGTTATATATTTTTCACCTGTTTAACCCGACATATAACCGTTTAAACCAACACGATTAACACCCCTAGAAGTGGGTACTAATGGACACGATTGACACCCCTAGCGTTGGGTACTAATGGAGAGGCACCCATGGTGCTGGGCACTGCTACAAAGGCCCCTATTGCAATGGACGTCGCTATAGAGGAGCCCATAGTACTGGGTGTCGTTGGCTGGCGATTTTGTTGATCGCGATGGAGGTGCACGGTTTGGAGGCAAATGCAAGTAGAGCTTGTGTTGCGCTAGGTGTTAAGCGTGGAATGCTGCAGCAACGAGGTGGCGGTGCCAGATGGACACAAAAGAATGAAACCCGATTGTTGACCTTCAATTTAATGTAGTCCCTCGGGTTGTAGACGACTTGAGTTTTAAGAGCCTGACTTGAGATAACAAAAATAATGTTATTCCAAATATTAAAATATCTAACATAATTACCTGAAAAGAGATGTAGGCTGCTTGCGTGAGAGTAAAGACAGAGTTTGAGAATTGCTCGTAAGAGAGATACACCTTTTGAGACCGAGCTTTTGCGACCAGTGAGAAAGTCCTTAAGCTTGAGGAGTAGGCTGCTTGCTTGATAGCAGAGTAAATGCCAAGCTTTTGGCGACCCGCAAAAGAGTCGTTAAACTAGAGATATAGGCTGCCTATTTGAGAATAGTGTAGATACCAAGCTTTTGGCGCTCCGTGAGAGAGTCGCTCAGTTGAAAATAGGCTGCCTGCTTAAAAGCAGTGCAGCGGGTAAGCTTTTGGCGACCTGTGAGAGAGTCGTTCAGTTGAAAATAGGTTGTCTGCTTAAAAACAGTGCAGAGGCCAAGTTTTTTGATGACCCGAGAGAGTCGCTAAGTTAGAGATATTGGCTTCTTTTTTGAGAACAATGCAGAGACCAAGCTTTTACCGACCTGTGAGAGAGCCGCTCAGCTAGAAATGGGTTGCTTGCTTGAGAGCAGTGTAGAGATAGATCAAACTTGTAGCAACCGGTGAGATGATTCACCTCACCTCGACTTGTTGATGTCTTCAGCATTTATATATTTTTGAGCTTTTACCAATAGTTCTGACATACCCTTTGGTGGACGCTTCATCACTAAGAAGAGGAAGCTTGATGACCAGAGACCTCCTAGGAAGGCGGTCATGCTAACCTTATCATCGGGCTCCTCGACCTGAAAGACCTCATCGTTAAAACGAGTGAGGTAGCTCCTCAAGCTCTCGTCTCGATCATACTTTTATGCTAAGAAGGTGGGTAGCAGGTTTCTGGTAGAGGCGTCCTCCAATGAAATGTGACACGAAGGACTTGCTCAGCTCAGTAAATGAGCCAATAAAGGCTGGGGAGAGCTTAACGAACCATTATCGAGTGGATCCCTTCAAGGTGGTTGGGAACACTCTGCATATGATTTTCGTCGGGGACATTGTGCAGCTACATTAAGATCTTAAAAGTTTTGAGATGGTCCAGTGGATCCTTTGTACCGTCAAATATTTCGACGGATGACATCTTAAATTTTTGAGGGAGTAGGTAGTTCGCCACATCAAGTTTGAAAGGTGTGTCGGTTCGACTTATGAGGTAGTCCACTGTCTCCGGTCCTTGTGCCTTCATGGCGTTGAAGATGTCACCCAATTAATTTGGAATTCCTGAATTTTTCTGTTCTAGTGATTAGGAGGAGGTATTCTAGAATTATCACAGACATGACTTTTATGCTCCATGCTTTGGTTTTCACCCTTATCCTCTTAAAAAAGAGGGTCTCCAACATGGGGAGTAGTTGCAGAGGTTGGAGGAGGAGGTTGTGGGGTGTCTAAAGGGGCTCCCATAGGTAGATGGGGAACGTCTAGGTGGGGAGCTCCTTACTAACTAGGCCGTGGAGCTCTTCTAACTTGAGGTCCAGGCTGTGCTCCTTCTTGTTGTCTGAGCATTGATTGCAAAATCTGTTAGTTCTAGGCTACAAGTTGTTGCATTATGTCCAGCATCTACTGTGCATTTGGGACGAGATTGATAGGTGGAGGAATAACATCCTCCTCTCGTGCTAGATTGTCTTTAGGCTAACTCATAGATCCTGACGATGATCGCCTTTGATTCAGCAAAAAAAAGTGTTTAAGTGAGAATTATGTCGTTCTCATAGACGACATCAAACTGATGATGCACAAAATTGATTTATACACCACCTGTCAAGTATACAGTATAAAATGTAGTAAAATAAGTAGAGGGAGAGAGAAGACAAGATTTATAGTGGTTCAGTCAACGTGACCTACGTCCACTTTGAATGGCAAGGGTCGCCGATATTTTATTATCTCTAGTGCGGAAAGGAGAGCAGAATGTTTCAAGCTTTGAGAGAGGAGGAGAAAATTATGCTCAAATGAGTGGGATGCCCATGAGTGGGATGCCCCTCAAGTGTTGATAGAGTTTACAATTTATAGTGGTTTAATGTAGTAATTGAATAACTAGTCTGACAGTTATAACGAGTTGGAGCCATTTAATAGCTATAACGGATTGTGGTGACTTTAACGGTGATTAAATAACTTGACGACTTCTTCTCTCCTCAATGGGCAAAAAAGTTATGATGTTCTGCAAAAAGACTTGATCAAATAATGATGGAAGATTGACTCTCTCCAAACGGCGAGGATAAGACTCCTGAATGCTCTCTTACTCTAAGTTAGTAGAGGAAGTTCTTAGATGACTCTTATTCCAAGGTAGTAGAGGAGGGTATTGGATAACTCTTGCATACTCCCTTTTGATATTGCTCTTTAATCTTTGATGAACTTGTCCGACTTAATCGCATTAAGCTGATTTTAGTGGATTTCTTGGAGATGAGCTTTAAACTCGGAGTTTAAGCTATAGTGTCAATGCAATGCACTGAGAGTGGCATTAAGCTATAAACTGGATTTAAGCTATGCCCTTCGGCTTGACCCATCCCACGGCTACGTTCCCATTTGTCATTCGCCGGTTTCTGCTCCTCTTCTTCTTCTTCTGTATAGCAGTCACTCAAATCTTCACCTTCACTGCCATGTTCATCAATCTATCTGTACTGTACTCTATCGCTAACACACAGATATACTAATTAGCTTTTGATTATCATCTCTGCAACTCAATTCAAGAAAGGGGCAAAATGGAAAACAAGGGATCGAGGAGGAGGACAAGAGGGAAAGCCGACTTAGCCGGAACGTTACGGAAATCATGGTACCACCTTAGGTTGTCCGTACGTCATCCGACTAGGGTTCCGACATGGGACGCGATCGTGCTCACGGCGGCTAGCCCCGAGCAAGCAGAGCTCTACGAGTGGCATCTCAAGCGTGCCAAACGTATGGGTCGGATCGCCACATCCACTGTCACTCTAGCCGTGCCCGATCCGCAGGGTCAAAGGATCGGTTCCGGAGCTGCCACTCTCAATGCTATCTATGCCCTTGCTCGCCATTACGAGCAGCTACGTCTTGAAGCCCTCGGACCACAGGTACTTCAATTCTGTCACTACTACTAATAGTGTTATCACCGACAGCATTTTGCATTGCTTGATACTGTATTCAGTGACTGTTGATATTGTTAGCGCTGGTATAGTTGTCATCAAATGGTCGATGCAATGCATATTACAACCATGACCCAACAGATTTTCAGATTTAACGTACTTTAATCAAAATATTCTTGTTAATCACTTTTGCAAATTGCAATTTAAGAATTATCTAATACTTCCACCAATGAAGGGTCAATGAATAGTCCGTCCCCATGATAGTATTGCTAGAAGTTAAGGATGCTGTTGTTTATTTGGTTTAAACTCAATATTTGAATTCCCTGATACCATTTTAAACCACCAATTCATTTATATGTTTTAAGCTTTTAAATGAGTTGGAGATTAATATGGTATCAAGGTATGAGGTTCTGCGGATATCTTATATGTGAATCTCGTTGTCACCTTGATGATACTAAGATTTGTATGTGTTTGACCCAAAATTTAATTCCCACGTGAGCTTGTTTTGTTACACATCGTCTAATAGCTTAAACTTCGTTGGTGGTTTACTAATACTGTTTAGTCAACTTGTATAATTGTTCGTTCCACATTGCCCAATCATAGTAGACGCCGACTAGAAGTCAATTGCCATTGTGTTGTTGCATCTAGCACTTTGCAACCAATCCTGATTAGGTTGATGGATTATCACAATAGTTCTTTTCCCTTTCATATTGACCAGTGGTATGGCCAAATTATCCTTAGAACAAATAAAAAAAAAGTATAATTGGTTTTCTATGGTGGTTCAGTTTGCTTTACTCTTTGAAACAGTTCTGCTACATCTGCGGACTACAGACTTGAAGTTCTGTGAAATTTTCAAATTTTAGGGCACCTTTTACTGAATAGATAGATAGGTATAATATGGCTGTGGATTATAATTGGGATACCAAGCTTGTTAATGAAATAATGGTAGCACCCCAATCAAGTAAAGCCATGTGTTTTTTAAGTTTAGAGCCTACACATGATGATATACAATACCTCTGTGTCTTTGGTTGATTTGAGCATTTCTAAATTTTTGGGAACAAGACTGTTACTGCATCAGTATTCTTCGAAACGGGTAATGTGTGATGAAAAGTTCTCCAATGATTCCTAAGTGGCTCTTCTTTCCTTCAATTTATTTGATCACTTACCTTGAAGAAAAACATGTTGTGAAACTGTTGGGCCAAAAAAGTGCTCATTTGAAGCAGTATGGATGATTGCTAACTTTGAAGCCTCCAAAGGAATTTGCTACTTTTGAAGTTCATTCAGTCTTCATATATAATTTTTTATGTTAAAGAGGGATAGAATAGAATTAAGGTTTTCTCTTCGCTTGTGCGTGTGTGTCAGTGTCTGCATGTGTTGGACTTGGCTTTGTTATGTTTTTCCTTAAGGGATATAGTGTCTTACACCAATCTTTTTGCTGCTAAGTGGTAGTTATTTGCGCTCTACAATTGATTGTTGCTTTGATGGGACATTATTTCTCATCAGCAGGTAGCAAATGCAAGCAATTGCAGTTCTGAACCTTCCGTGCGGTGCAAAAGGTCCAATGATGAAGTTGCTGCCTCGATGGTTACATTCATAGACAAAAAGCATATACTTTTGCTTCACGCAGGAGGTGACTCAAAAAGGGTCCCATGGGCGAATCCCATGGGGAAAGTTTTCCTACCACTTCCCTACCTGGCAGCAGATGACCCTGATGGGCCAGTTCCCCTGCTTTTTGACCACATACTTGCAATTTCTTCTTGTGCAAGACAAGCATTTAAAAATGAAGGTTGCTTGCCCTGTTTATTACGTTAAAGTGAAACTGGACTGTACTCACTATTCAAAGACAGTCGATATTAGGCCTTCCCAGTTATTAGAATCTTAGATATGAAGTTCTTTCTACCTATTTCCATTTGTTAGCTAAAGAGATTTATGATTAGAAATCCGTCAAGTCTTAAGTTGGTTTGTGTTGGTGTCAATGCACATGCAAGCTAGCTGTAAGAAACTGTATATTCCACTTCACTACATATCTCCTAGCTAATATGATGTCTTATGATTAATATGCTGCATCTAAGGGTTGCACAGGCTGAGTATTTGCAGCAGGCGAAGTTGAAATAAACTTAAAATTCTGTTCTAGACCTACAGGTGTGTGTTTTCAAATTGAGACCAGTATTTGAGCCCTCTGGGAAAGCCTGATGGTATCTTCTGGTTTAGGCCTTTGAGAGTGCTTGATTGAGGGCAACTTGTAGGTAGCTGATTACAGGCTAAGATCGAATTCCCTTTCCTTTCTCACAAATGCCCATGAGTTTGTTGGGTATATGCATGGCAGTCCCCTGCATGTTTTGTAGAAATTATGATCCTCTGTTCCTAATCTCATAAATTGTTATATTACCTTTCCAATTGGATTCTATGGAAAATAAACCTGAAGAGAATTCACATCTCCTGGTACTGTGTTGTAGTTTGGAAACAGAGCGTAGTTACATGCTTTTATAGCTTGGAAGATATTTTTAAATTGTTTCTTTATTTTGGTGGGTATTATATTGGTTATCGAGATAATTATTTTCAATCCCTGCTATGCATGACTTTTGTAAAATTTTAAATTGTGCAAAAGGAATGGTGTTCATTGTTGTACAATTCATCTCAATTGGCTCGTAGATGCTAAGCAGCGCTTTTATCGCCGCAGGTGGGTTATTTATCATGACTGGGGATGTACTTCCTTGTTTTGATGCTTCTTCTATGGTTCTCCCAGAGGATACATCCTGCATTATCACTGTTCCTATCACCCTCGACATTGCTTCCAACCATGGTGTAATTGTGGCATCTAAATCTGGGATTTTGGGAGAAGGCTATTCAGTCTGTCTAGTTGAGAATCTACTTCAGAAACCTAGCGTGGAGGAGCTTGTTGAGCATCAGGCAATTCTAGATGATGGAAGAACACTGCTTGACACAGGAATAATAGCAGTTAGAGGTAAAGCATGGGTGGATCTTGTCACGCTTGCCTGTTCCAGTCAATTAATGATCTCAGAGCTCCTGGAAAACAGAAAAGAGGCAAGCCACCCATTTTTCAGTTGTCAGTGATTTAGTCAAGTCCACCTCTTGGTTCTATATAATGTCTTATTTTATAGGATTTGCTTTGCGTTACCGAAGAATTGTGTTTATTCTGGCATGAAATCTCACAGCAAATTAGTAACGAGTAGGTTATCAGGACTAGTTTCATATTTAGTGTGCCTCATATCATATGCCTCCTCTTTTCTGCGGACAGTTTGGATATGTTCTGTGTTACGTTATGGTTTGTACTTCCTATTTTCTTGTTGATGCCTGTAGGTCCATTCTGTTAGACTCTTGTGAGTTTATTTTCTACATGTTTGCTTCTATATATCTTTAGATTCTGCAGACACACTTCTGACAACTGAGCATGGAGCCCACTAAACTTCCTCTAGAACTTAGTGGGATCATGTGCTGTCATCAGGATATTATTTTATGTTATTTCATTCTATTTGTAATTGTGGATAGACTAGAGTTCTTTGCCATGTGCTTGCAGAGCTTAAGGATAGCATCGATTTGTTGTATTGTTTTTATTGACTCTTTTGTGCTGTTGTAAGTGTAATTTGCCACAGAAAGAATGATTGAACATTCAGCTCTATTCATCCTAGAGTGTCCTATCTTCTGAAAATTATTAGTTGTCATTTTGATTCCCACAACCTTGATTGCACTTCTGTTGGCCGTTGGCCATCCTCTGGTCTTTCCAAAATAACTTTCCCCTTCTACTCTTGTCATTTATCTTCATTCCATGTCATTGAGCAATCTTAAGTGAGTCCTTTCCATCTTGTTCACATCCTATGTTTTCATGAGTGGGTTATTTGTTGTCATTTCTTGTTTTTATCTCTGAATGACGCACAACATTCTTGGCTATAGTGCGTCACCAGCTTCGGACCTTCTCCAACTCCTTCCATCCTTTGATTAATGGATGATGCCCTTTCCTGATCTCTCCCTTCCAATGGATGATCAAGCCAACTTGAGGGAGTTTTTACTTGAAATATTCCTTGGTCATCAAATTCAACAATTTATTCTTTCCATTTTTTAGTTTTGAAAAGTATTGTCCTAACTCCTATGCATTCTTATATGTGCCCATCCTCAACTATTCCTGGGTTGTAATTCTTTTCCTAGTTCAATGAGGAACTATTTATGGTTGTTTTGTTGCAAAACTCTCTTATTTGGATTTTAGACTTAAAATTTTTTGGGGATTCCAGGAATATGACATATTTTGATTTTGTAACANTGCCCATCCTCAACTATTCCTGGGTTGTAATTCTTTTCCTAGTTCAATGAGGAACTATTTATGGTTGCTTTGTTGCAAAACTCTCTTATTTGGATTTTAGACTTAAAATTTTTTAGGGATTCCAGGAATATGACATATTTTGATTTTGTAACGAATTCATTGTAACTTGTGCAGATGAGTTTGTATGAAGATCTTGTAGCTGCTTGGGTACCTGAAAAGCATGAATGGTTGCAACCACGCCCTTTGGGGGAAGAACTTGTCTATAGATTGGGAAAACGAAAGATGTTCAGCTATTGTGCTTGTATGTTGAAGAGTGCTGTCATATGCTTCTTAAAGTTTGTCTTAGTGGTGGTGTTGTTCTAATCATATTAATTGGTTTTTGACGCTGCCCTTGTTCTCAATAAAAAAAATTTCTCATTGTTTGTTACTCTAGCAACCTTTTTTGTGCATATACAATGCATATGTCGCATTTATTAGAGTGCATATCTAACATTCATGTAATTAGAAAATCCCACCATTTTTTTCTCTATTTCCCAGCAGATGATTTGCAGTTCTTGCATTTTGGAACCTCAAATGAAGTTTTGGATCACCTGAGTGGGACTGATTCAGGACTTGTTGGTCGTAGGCACCTGTGTTCCATTCCAGCAACCACCGTGTCTGATATTGCTGCATCTGCCATTATTCTGTCTAGTAAAATTGCGCCTGGTGTCTCAATTGGGGAAGATTCTCTTGTATATGATTCATCCATTTCTGATGGGATACAGATTGGTTCTCAATCTATAGTTGTAGGGGTTAATGTTCCCGGAAACAACAGTAGGGCAGCAGAGGATTCAATCAGGTTTATGCTTCCAGACCGCCATTGCCTTTGGCAGGTTCCCTTAATAGGATGTACTAAAAGGGTTATTGTGTACTGTGGTCTCCATGATAACCCAAAAATTTCACTTTCAAAGGATGGGACTTTTTGTGGGAAACCCTGGAAGAAGGTCTTAGATGATTTAGGCATTCAAGAAAGTGACATGTGGAGCTTAACAGGTACTCAGGAAAAATGCTTGTGGAATGCCAAGGTGTTCCCCATTCTTTCGTACTTTGAGATGCTTAGTCTGGCGACATGGCTTATGGGATTAAGCAATCAGAGAAACGAATCCTTGCGTCCGCTATGGAAAAGGTCACACCGCATCAGTTTGGAGGAGTTGCATAAAACAATTGACTTTAAACAAATGTGTTTAGGTTCCAGCAATCATCAAGCAGATCTTGCAGCTGGAATTGCTATGGCTTGCCTCAATTTTGGCTTGCTTGGGCGCAACTTATCTCAACTGTGTGAAGAAATTTTGCAAAAAGAAGCATCTGGGGTCAAGATTTGCAGAGATTTTCTATACAGGTGTCCCAACCTTCAGGCAAAAAATTCAATGATCCTACCTAAAAGCAGGGCATACCAGGTGGAGGTTGATCTTCTCCGAGCATTGAGTGAAGAAACAAGGGCATGCGAAATGGAGCACAGAGTTTGGGCTGCAGTGGCCGATGAAACTGCTTCGGCTGTGAGATACGGATTCAAAGGTACAGTAGAGCATAGTAGGTACTAGAGTAGTGAGAAAAAGGAAAATAAACATGAGAAACAAGAACAAGTTCTTTGATCTACTGGAAATGATCTAAAACATCACTAGAGACATTTTATTTTTATGCTTCACTCTTACATTTTTCCAGGTCGATTATTGACACAATTTTTTCAATCCATTATGAGGAGTTCATATGTTTGATATTTTCGATTAATGAAACACAGTTCATTTTTCTGGGTATGGTTAATTTTTTATGTTTTGTATTTGTTAGAACATCTCTTGGAGTCGTCCAATAGGATCTCTGCCACAGCACATCAAGGGAATAATTCTGATGGTTTTCTAGATAAATCTTTCTGCTCTAGAATAGTAAAGGTTGAGTTACCAGTGCGTGTGGATTTTGTTGGGGGCTGGAGTGATACTCCTCCATGGAGCCTGGAGCGAGCTGGCTGTGTCTTGAATATGGCAATAACTTTGGAAAGTTCTCTTCCCATTGGTGCCATCATAGAGACAATAAGAAGAACGGGTGTATTAATTAATGATGATACTGGAAACCAGGTATATATAGAAGATCTTACGTGTATTGCAACTCCATTTGACAGCGAAGATCCATTTCGTCTTGTCAAGTCTGCATTGCTTGTTACTGGTATTATGGATAACAAGATCCTTGAATCCATGGGCTTGCATATTCGCACATGGGCAAATGTTCCCCGTGGCAGTGGGTTGGGGACTTCCAGCATCTTAGCAGCAGCTGTTGTGAAAGGACTTCTCCAGATAACCGATGGAGATGAAAGTAATGAAAATGTTGCCAGACTTGTTCTGGTTTTGGAACAGCTTATGGGGACGGGAGGAGGCTGGCAGGATCAAATTGGAGGCTTATACCCTGGCATTAAATTTACTGGAAGTTTTCCTGGAATACCGTTACGGCTTCAAGTCGTTCCTCTGTTGGCTTCTCCTCAATTGACTAGAGAGTTGCATCAACGAATGCTCGTGGTTTTTACTGGTCAAGTAAGAATTTTGCTTTAATCCATTATTTTCATATGTTGGGTTGCATTAAAAACTTCATGGTCTTAAAACTATCGATGTTTACCTTGACGAGGATCCTACCATTTTATTGAACCCATGTTCCACGAGGACGGAGGTTGTTTGTATGGGTTGTGCTTGATCTGATGATCATCTTTGTTCTGAAGCAACAGTGAGAAGCTTGTTCCGCTGGTGATGATAGGCAATAACCGCAATACTGTTGTTTGCAGAGTGTGAGAACATTGTGGATAATGATGGAATCTTATGAAAAGCAGTCTACTCTCCTCCTGATAATGTATATGGGCATGCAAGGGGGGTATGATACACATAGTTAGGCTTCCTAAATAATTTTTACCCTAGGTGGGGCTTTGTTATCCATTTAAACAATACTGGTAGCAGTATCTGAGTTGCCATAGATCCCAAGTGGTTAGGCAAGCTTTGAGTTGAGTTTGTAAAATGGGAACCTGAATGAGTAGAATTCGAACATTGCAGATTCTTATTGATTATTCTAAAATAAAGATTGGAGTGGGGTTCTCTTTTCCTTGAGATTTAGAAAACAAGCAAGAGACTATTAGGATGATTCAGTTGTATGGAGTTTGTGTCTCTAGATCTAGACTTGTAATGTTGATTTCATCTTTGTTTTTCGTTGTTTTTGGGCTGATCAATAACCTAGGTCACCTCCCTGTCTGTGCGGCTTCAAGCTGGATTTCGTTGTTATTGTTCCAATTTTGTTGGATGCTCCCAAAGGGACTTTTTATTTTCTGGTCTTAGTTAAGGAGACTTGATACTTTCCAAATAATAAGCTTCAATGGACTTTCTTTCAAATTCTGAATTTCACTGAGATTGTGTACTTTGATGACTATGCAGATTCGACTCGCACACCAGGTCCTACAAAAGGTGGTGATTCGCTATCTCCGGCGGGACAACCTGCTTGTGTCCAGCATCAAGCGTCTTGCTGAACTGGCAAAGGTTGGGAGGGAAGCTTTGATGAACTGTGACATAGATGAGTTGGGTGAGGTTATGTTGGAGGCTTGGAGGCTGCATCAGGAACTTGATCCTTATTGCAGCAATGAATTTGTTGACAAGCTCTTTGCATTTTCGGCCTGCTATTGCTGTGGCTACAAGCTTGTGGGTGCTGGTGGTGGGGGTTTTGCTTTGCTACTGGCAAAAAATGCCGAATCTGCTAAGGAATTGAGACATTTACTTGAAGAAAATTCTAATTTTGGCGTAAAAGTCTATAATTGGAGCATCTTTTTACAAACTAGTTGAGGGAGATTATAATTTAGTATATATATCAATTACAAAATTATTTATTTTGTATTTATTCATCTGTCCATTGAGATGTGTATCAAGAGCATTGTAACATGATTCCTACAAATTTATTTAACTTCTCTATGATTCAAGTTCACTGAAAGAAAAGTAAGAAACAGAGTTGCTTATTCTTTCAAAGTTAGTGGACTCCGATTTTTTTTTGTCTTTTTTTCCTCAATACGCCTGAAGATGTCCGAATTTGGTTTTACATACGAAGGTCAACTATAATTTTTGGTCTAATGTAACAATCAAATCAAACAAATAAAATTGAGAAAATGCTACCTAATTCTCTTCTTTATCTTTGTATTATATATATATATATACCTTAAATAGTTTTAAGTACTCCAATTTTTTTTTTTTTTTTTTTTTTGAAGTCGTCATGCTAAGAGTATTTATATAGAGAATAATCATGCTGATAAATCTTTAATCAGGAAAAGTGTTTAATAGGCAACAGATAGCTTTGTAATATGGTTTAAAGAATTAAAGTAGGGAACATGCCAGAGCAACCGTAGCCTACGCCGTGAGTTTTTCAACCTTAACACGACGTCGTGGCCTTGGATTCCCGGTTTGTGGTGGAACATTTCTTGGATGAAGTGCAAGGAATCGGAATAACTCTATTGCATCGGAAAAAGAAAAGTGCAGAGTCCAAGCACCATCCAAACATAGCCATAGCCATTTCGTCTGCACATCAGACAGGGTTAAAAGGAGAGAGAAAAAAAGGCAAAAAGAGGAAAACATTGCAGAAACGTTATTATCACCATTATTATCATCGTCATTATTGATGATGTCGGGTTCAATTGTATACACTTCCTTGATTTTTGTCAATAATAATTAATAAAAAAAATTTGAACCACATTTACTCTAATTTATCATATCTGATATCCTCTCTAATTTTTAAATCTTTAATAACACCGCTCGAAATATTTGGTAACGTTAGTTTAGCTACTGTTTGGTGAGCCAATCCTTTTCTTTTTGCACCCATTTTTTTTCATTTTGTTTTTTCTTATACTCTTTTTTCCGTCAAATGATAGTGTCGAACGGTGGAATGTGTCCGTTTGTTTGATTGATTGTTTGTGGGTTTAAGCCAAACTTGCAAATGTGCTTTAGGAGAACAGCTTAATCTGAAAAAAGGATTCAGTTACCTCGTAGACAAGAGCTGAGGAGACGAAACAGAGGGAGAAAGAGAAATGGGGCTTCTCAGTAATAGAGTCGAGAGGAGCGAGATCAAACCAGGGGATCACATCTACACTTACAGAGCTGTCTTCGCTTACTCTCACCATGGTAACAAACACCCCTGTCTCTACATATATAAGACTGGTGTGTGTGTGTGTGTGTGTTTTGACCAAGCAATGAAGATTTTCCTGCACTTCGCCGAAATCTGAATTATGGGTTCTCCTTGGATTCCTTGTTTGTGTTTAGTCACTTTTTTTTATCCTCCTAATTCTGTACTATTTTTCTCTGTCAACCTTACTTTTTTATTTTTTCTTTTAAAATATGTTGGTAATTTATGTAGGAGATGGATTTACAATTGGGGTAGTGAGATTATCCTTTTGAAATTCTGAATTTCATTTAATCTTTAAATCCGATTTCTTCCACCAGAAGTTCAAAACTTCTGTATTTCTATCGTTATTTTGCCAATCTGCTGAATTTATTTTTTGGGTTTTGCTTAATCTTGCTCAATTTCATGCTTGAAGATTACTTGTTTGTAGCATCCTATTTTTCCAAGAAATAATTTTGACCCTTGAATTGGACAGACTTTAGCAACCTCGGGAATGTGGTAGATTTTGTAACTAAGAGGTTTTTAATTTCTTTCTGAGCCCTGATATGTCTGCACAATTTTTGTCCCCAGTGAATTCATGCTTTGAGTCCCTGGGAAAATTGACTTTCTAATATCTTGTTGCTTACTCTTATTTCTCGTTTCAGTGCTAAGAATAATGCAAGGCATAAGAAGAATTCAACATATTTAATTGTGAATTGTTTCGTGATTTGGAACCTAATTGAAGTATTCCTCCCCCAGTGATCCATATTTCTCAGTTTGTCAGAAATCAAAATTCAAATTTTCCGCTGGATTTGGGAATAAGGTAGCACTTCATGATTAAGGTTTTTATTTCTATTTGGGCAACTGGTTTATTCAATAAACAGAATTTCCTCAGAGTCGGTGTTCGGAGTTTTTTTTTTTAAAATTTCAAACTGATAGCTGGACTTTGAATCCAGTTTATGTACACTAACATGAGCTCCACTTGAATTAAAGTCTGGGAAGGTAATTCAAATAATGATATACTAGCACATTGTGTGAATGGTTTTTATTCCACAGAGGGTAGTGTACATACAGACCAAGAGACTCTCTGGACATGTTGGAGTTAAAGTATATCAAAAATATAGTGTTAAGTTATTCAACTGATCTTTTCATGGTTCTCTAGTTCTCCTTACTATCGCCCAAGGGTTATGAGACAATAGGGAGTTGTCGGTTGCATGACAGTTTATGGTGGTGGTATTCCAATGGCCGACCAGTCATCCTTTTCCTTGGTCACCTACAATGATCATCTATTTTCCTATTTATGCTGGTGATCAGCTTGGCACAAGAACTACTGTTGGGTCTATGTTTTATTGCTTTCTCATTCCTTTTGCAGGTCTAGGCAAGTTCTAAAGGCACATAAATTATGTAGGTTTTCTTCCATTTTAGTAGAAGCAAGGACACAAGCTTACCCCATCTCATTGCCAACACATGGTATAGAAAGGAATCGTAATGAGAAGATCCCACAAAATAAAATAATCAAAATCTCACTGGGAACTTACCTACTTCATGAATATTGGCGATTATCCATGTCAGATATATTGCTTGCTATCTTGTTACTTGACCTGCAAAATACAAACTTGAAAACTTACCTCCCTCTTGCTACATGACTACATATATCGCAATCATTATTGCACTTGAAGGAAATTCATAGCATCTGCAAGTTCCCTACCTCGTTATTGAAGGTCCTCGTGCATAAAATACAGCTTCCAATTTCCTGAATACTTAAAATCTTTGTCTGAGCTGTCAGAGCTTGTGGTTTAAATTTCACAACCTTTCTTTCTTTTTTTTGCTTCCAGACTTTTTTGTTATCCCTCTCTATTAACTTGTATGATTCTGTATGTCATAGTTTTAATGAATGTGAATGCATGTTGCCTCTGAACTTATTTTACCAAACTTTGAGGACATGAAAATTATCATGTGTGGACATTCTTACCTGGTCACATGGTTATGCCCTTGGACTTTCTGATTGCTGAAAACCCTATAGCTGACAATACCGGAGAAATGGTTGGTTGTAATTAGTGACCAAAAAGAATTACATGGACTGAGTTAAAGTGTAGTAAAGGTTTACCTCAATTGCCTAGTCAAAGTTTCTTTGTTATTTTCTTGTGTGACCATGGGAAATTAAAATTCCATGACTAAAATTCTTATGTGCCAGCCCTGCATATCCTATTAGAAATCTGAAAGTTGAATGAAATAAATAGTGAAGTACAACAGCTGGTGCTAACTATTTGGGATTGATTAGAGACGCATATCCCAATTTTCAACTTTTTCTTTCACATGGCAGGGCCTCACAATGAATATAGATCTTTCTTCCTTGCTTTCAATAAGGCTATTTCTCTCTATATATGAGGAAATTTGGGAAGGTAATAACAAACTGTACATGGGTATGGCCATGGCATTACAGATTTTTGGAGTTTGTTACAATGTATCCACACCTCCATTTTGGCATTATCACAGGATGTTGTGCAAATGAAAGACCTTTAATTTCGTTATGATGCGACAAAAATTGTCATTTATGTATATAGCTTTCAGACTTTTTAAATTGAAGCTTTCACCTAATGAAACTGAAAAATTGTAGAAAGGATGTATGCTATTCAATGAGTTGTTTTCTTGTCTTCCTCATCTGCATTCCTAGCTTAACAGGCTTTGATCTCCTTTTCAACACTTGAGCATTGAAGATGGACAAGATTTTATGGGTTTGCATCTTTCTTTGCATCCCCATATTAGGATTTGTATTGGTCAGTTTTTGGTTTTCTTGGCATAAATAATTGGCCCTCTGATTTAGCTGCAGGATGTTTTGTTGTCACTGCTTTATTTCTTATTTTCTCTGTGATATTCAGTTGGTCACTTAGTATAGCTTTATGGTCCCAATTCCTCTCAATATGTTGCGTGTAACTGTAATTGCTGAGGCAGATGAAATAAATTTCTCATTACCTATGGATCTGTGGCACACTTTAAGCTCAACATATGTTGGAAAAATACCATTACTTTGGTTTGTGAATGCCCTTATTCTTGATGGTTTTGTTTTATACTGTTTCTTGCTGTCTTTATGATAGATTCATTGAAGCTTTATCTGGTTTTTAATCTGCCTCCAGGCCAGTTGCCAAGTTGGTAGGTGCCCCCCCCCCCCCCCCCCCC